TACCCCGTCGGCGACATTGGCTAGGCTAAAAGCCGACGTTAAACATTTAACTTCGTTCGTTCACTCAGGGAGACCAAGCAGGGGAAACCAGTCAGAAGGACGAGACGGGCCCAGATCATCGACAGAAGCGGACGGATTGTTCCGCTAGTCAGGGCGTCGGCCGAGGCCGTCGCCTCACCAACGACTTACGTCGACGAGGAAGAATGTGTGTGAAGTGACAGCGGGTCTCCACACCGGGAACATTGGCAACACGGTCCCGATGTGCGTTCTGTCACGTGATTTACATTTTGTGTACCATTTCTACCATTATTCCATTATGGTCTCTACCACTGACTTTAATTTGTCTTCCGTCTCTTGTCCACCATCCTGAACTACCACCCGAAAGACCCTAACGGCCGCTCTTGGACATTACGATCCGATCCAAGCTTAGATCGAGACTCTTTCGTGCTAGAGATAGAAATGCGAGGAAGTAGTTTTGGAACCAAGTGTAAACGTTGAAAAAACACCTCGAGCAAAATATTAAAGTATTGTTGGAAATAGATAAAAACTGAACTTAAAGGTCACATGCAACGTAAAACACAACTTTGCAGATTCTGATACCTTTCGGTATGGGCTTACCAGAAACGAATCGTCAAAATGCAAATTCAACTTATAAAGTTGAAAAATAACGCGATGAAAAAACCGCGCGAAATCGGAGTTCAAACGTTTCACTAATTTTCCCCGACTTTTCGGGGAGGAAAACTGGTTTCAACAGCTTGGGCTGCGCTCATAGCACGTGCGCAGTGAAATAGGTTCGCGCAGCTCGGAAGCAGGTTGTCCGGTGAATACTCGGTGAGGGGCTTTGGTGTGAGCTATTTTTTCTAATGTTTTGTTGATATCTCACAGGTGCGAGCTTTTTATATGTTATGACGAGTAAAATAAACTGTTTATATAATTTCATTTGTCTATTTCACCACACGTTCTTCTTACCGAGTCACTTTCTCAGTTCGATACTTAAAAGCAATGTCATTATTTAGCGTTGACAGAAATTTCTAACTGTGATATAGATATGTATGTCAATGTCTTGTTTTATTGACACCTGTGTGTCTGCCTGCCTGTCTGCTAATGGCAATATTCAATACACAGCTGCTATCACTGACCACATGCAATTTGAACTTAACACCAATCAGGCTATACACCATAAACAAAGGCATTTATTTATGCCCCGAGTTCGGTCTCTGTCACATTATGCAATTACACAGACAGGCAGGTGTGATACTTGAACACATGACATGTTATCATGTCTGTTGATTGCAAAATGTTATACACAAAAAATGAGCATGTATTTACAAAACCCAACATCTCTATATATACACACACAATGAGCCGTGAGGGCGTCTGCAAATGAACCAGCCGTTACACTTGAGTGCACACCCACCCGCTCTGACTGGGTTCGGTGTCCCGGCTGCTTCGTTTCTTGGGAAGTAAACCCAAGTACACAATATTGCACTTTTGATTTGCGATTGTACGCTTATAATTTTGTTTATATGTTTTTTCATAACCAGCAATGTATATTGTATGTCATGAATAAGTGATAATTGTGTTTTGATTATGTTTGATTTTTTGGTTGCATGTGACCTTTAAGCTGTTACTCTGTATGCCTAAAATTGACAAATTTACAAATAGCATATATCGAAAAAACGAACATCGGCTAACTGGGCATTCGGAGGGATGCGTAATAGTATATCCAGAGAAGCATGTTTCTCGTATAATAGGGCAAAACGTAGAAGAAAAATACGAATAGCTGCTCAAAACAATAGATCGGACTTTTGATGGCAATTAGTCACTCAGCCAGGTATGACGACGGACCGTTGACTCACCTGGCATGAAATGCACGTCCTGTCTACAAGCACAATGGGTAATGTCAAAGATATTTTATGCTTTTCCATGTGTAGAATATGTCTCATCTATTGATCATAAAGTTTATGTTGAGATACGTAAAGGGTATGATACCCATGGAAAAGCTTAAATCAGCTATCCTATTAAATGTCTCAAAATATATAGGTGGCATGACCACCCACAGATCGACAGGGACTGGATATTATTTGTAAAAGTGTTATGACATGCCGTTTGTTTCCCAGTTTAATTCCCCTAAAGGATTATCTTATCTCAGCTTATATCTCTATCACACAGCCCGACCCAACCACCGTCTGCGACACCCGTTCTGAATTTGCTTCTGAGACGACCCTTCTACCTGTTTCTTTTCATAGCGATATCATCTGATAACATATCTAGAATCTGTCAGTGGTCTTGAAAAACCCGTGAGCCTGCCTTAAAATTCAGAATCCTACCAAATAAGCGCAGTGAAATCAAAACTATTTGTATCCTTTGTACATTGTTCACTTCATGACCCGTCCCTATTATTAACTATTGACGTTGCAATATTGTTGTACAAATGTATTACACCGACTCCCTCGGCTGTGTTCCCATGACGACAGTGGTCAGACTGGCCTGACATTTGTATGGCTTCAGTGCAGTGATTGTTTACATCACAGAAATAAACAAATTCATTTCTTTTGGGGGTTTTAGGGGACGCTCACGATGAAATGCTCGCTCAACTTCTTCACATAGAATATGAAAGCCACCATTTTGGTTTCTCTACGATTGATTTTAGCGATCCTAAGTTGGTCATGAGCAACTTAGACTTTGGATCTTAACTTTACGATTGACTTGGGTAAGATTGGTTAGTTGGACGGTAAGCTGATCGTAACGTCACGTTAAGGTTGGGATTTTAGGGGCTTTCATTTGGCGTAGGGCTAAGATCGGTTAGTGGAACGGCATCCTGGTCTGGTTTGGTTTTAAAGAAAACGTCAAAGTAGGTGAGTAAGGAAGGTTTAATATCCCTCTCACTGTTAACGCCCAGAAACCATTTTGTCCTTCAGTTTACATACGTATACAAAGGAAACAATTTAAAAGCTTGTTTTCAATGCACACTTGAGTTTTGATTCCAGTTATTAAAATTTCAGAATGTTATCTGTCAACCAAATACTCGAAACAAAATTGCTAATGGACGATTCTCATGTGTTCAGTTGGGTATAGAATCAATAATAAATCAATAGTTTGGTTTGGTTGTTGTTTAACGCCGCACTTAGCAACATTCCAGCTATGTGGTGGCGGTCTGTAAATGATGGAGTCTGGACCAGACAATCCAATGATCAACAGCATAAGAATCGATCTATGCAATTGGGTTAATAATGACACGTGTCAACCAAGCCAGCGAGCCTGACCACCCGATCCGTTAGTCGCCTCTTACCACAAGCATTGGTCGCTGAAGACCAGTTCTAAACAGGATCTTAGCTGGTAATATTTTGGAATGTCTATATCTGTAAACACTGGAGTCTTGAACAGACAATCCTATGATTGATATCAGGAGCATTATCGCGAGCATCAAATAGAACGCAACATAACCTTCGTTTGCTCCATGTCATTGGGGTTAAATGTCGACAGTATATTGAAGGCACAGCTAAAATATTTTTCGCTGAGGCGATTGCACAAAAGAATTCGTATTGTACAGGGATGAAATGTTCTGACGTCAAAGTTATATGATTCTGTGTTAAAAGTACAATACTTAATCAGTGTGGCTTTTGGTGATAATTGTTATAGAGATATATCTAGGCATATATCTCGAGTAACACTTAGACCTCAGTAGACAAATACACATCACTGATGCCATATCACTAGTATTCAGTGCAGATACTTACAGTGCATCTGTTGTCGTGTGAATGTGGAACTAAGACCCCGTCAGTGATAGTATATGCCTTGATGGCAGTTTTTAGCGTATGCTACAAGCCCCTGTGTGTGGAACATCGAGGCCGGCGGTTCCTTTGATCTCGCTACTTATTTATATCTCCAGCACCGTGTAGTACATGATGAAGGAGTTTAGTTAATGTTGACTATTGTTGTAAGTCGGGCAGGTTTCACCCTACCGTGTATGAAATAGGGAGGCGTGGCTGGATGGGGAAGGGGTGGGGGTGTCTCTTTATTAGTGTGGCGGGTTGCCCGGTGGAACATACCACAAGCAATCCAGCGCCAAACTCGGTGTTGCTCCTGATATGACACGTCACAATGACGTCATAACTCGCAGCTTAGTGCGACCAGTGTCGCTAGTCAGGGCATTTCCAGGCTGTCAGTGAGATTTGTGTGTTGTGTGAGGACAGTAGCGGGGTAAGTTTGTTTATCTCTATATTTTGTACTTTTAGAACCAGTAGATAAGGTTGTGAACAGAGCGGGATGGACAACGACTACTGTAGGGATTAGGCAGCAGGTACTTGCTTTGTTAAAATGTGAATAGATACAAAGCTCTTTCAGTCTTTGTGCATGGTATGTTCATGTGTAGAAAATACTGTAAGACGTTTGTCTCAAGAGATAAGTTCGAGGCGATTGTAGCAGCCGTGAGTGCATGTCGTAACTTTGTTAAACGTAGCAATATCTGATTGACAAACACATGGCATGCAGCTTGTACATGATTGTACTCAGTCGTAGCTGGTCTGGTTGTCAAGCCAGTGATGTTTACAGTCTTGACACCTTCAATGTGGGGATGTCGTAACTTTGTTAAACGTAGCAATATCTGATTGACAAACACATGGCATGCAGCTTGTACATGATTGTACTCAGTCGTAGCTGGTCTGGTTGTCAAGCCAGTGGTGTTTACAGTCTTGACACCTTCAATGTGGGGATGTCGTAACTTTGTTAAACGTAGCAATATCTGATTGACAAACACATGGCATGCAGCTTGTACATGATTGTACTCAGTCGTAGCTGGTCTGGTTGTCAAGCCAGTGGTGTTTACAGCCTTGACACCTTCAATGTGGGGATGTCGTAACTTTGTTAAACGTAGCAATATCTGATTGACAAACACATGGCATGCAGCTTGTACATGATTGTACTCAGTCGTAGCTGGTCTGGTTGTCAAGCCAGTGGTGTTTACAGTCTTGACACCTTCAATGTGGGGGTCTCCAACTTCACACACTCACATCTCAGTGTAGAAAACAGATCAAAACACTGAACCTTGTTAATATTTACGATAAAAGCAAATTTCAGCTTCGTGTTGTTTATCTGCCAGATATATTATCAATTAATTCAAAAGGCCATAAATTACGGCAACGAAAGCAACAACGTGTTTGTAATGTGGTCTCGAGGGGTGTCACAGGTGAGGTCACTACTCAATATTGATGTCCAGGATTTTGTGTTTATGAAAATCTAGAATATTTATGTGTAAAGTAGTTTTTCTGAATGTTTTCAACTACCACGTGCTTGTAATCTGGTCTCGTGGGGTGTCACAGATACTTCAGAAATCCAATTTCCCGACATGACTGTCCCGTTTTTGTGTGTATGAATTGTTTTGATATTCAGGTTCTAGGTTTAGTCACATTAAACCATAGTAGAGTCAGTTGGATCTTCGTCGCTCTATTTGTAAATAACAACACTGTTCACTAACAAACAGTCAATGAACGTCCTGGAAAATGCGTGTGAACCATGTTCATTTACCCGCTGTATGTAAAACAATACGACAATAGTCTGACAAGTACATAAGTACTAAATCTCCGAGTTCACGAACACCATTCTACCAGAATCGAAACCACTAACTGCCAGATGTAAGAGTCTTTGTCAGGGGAGATTGCCGTGAAGGGAGATTGGAACATATGTCATACACATATGACGGTTGATTAAATGTTTGTTTTGATACTTTCAGGTCCAGTCACAGGGAAGAGGGCAGATAGCCAAGGTAGCGTACAACATCATATATCAGTTGATGTTTGATGTCATTTCAGGTGAATTTGTTAGAAAAAACGTGACACTGGGACATATATATATATATATATGAAGAGTAAAGAACGAAACATGTTGGAGAAAAAGGCATTCTGTTTTTATTTTTCTATATTTCTTCTATTTCTCTCTCTCTATATATATATTCTTTTCATAGGTCTTTCATAACAAATACCCAGTACAAGTTTGTTTTAATGTTTGTAACTTAACAATCTGAATCTATGAGAAGCACAGGTTCTGTCACAACAGAAATGTAGCAGCCTTGAGGTACAAAGAATTAAGAACCATCCCTCATGACCATCTAATACCACCATACACAATACCACCATACACATCTAATACCACCATACACAATAACACCACCATACACAATAACACCACCATACACAATAATACCACCATACACAATAATACCACCATACACAACAGTACCACCATACACAATAATACCATCATACACAATAATACCACCATACACAATAATACCAACATACACAACAATACCACCATACACAACAATACCACCATACCACCATACACAACAATACCACCATACACAATAATACCACCATACACAACAATACCACCATACACAACAATACCACCATACACAACAATACCACCATACACAATAATACCACCATACACAACAATACCACCATACACAACAGTACCACCATACACAACAGCACCACCATACACAACAATACCACCATACACAACAATACCACCATACACAATAATACCACCATACACAATAATACCACCATACACAACAATACCACCATACACAACAATACCACCATACACAACAATACCACCATACACAACAATACCACCATACACAATAATACCACCATACACAACAATACCACCATACACAACAGTACCACCATACACAATAGCACCACCATACACAACAATACCACCATACACAATAATACCACCATACACAATAATACCACCATACACAATAATACCAATTACCATACACAACAATACCACCATACACACAATACCACCATACACAATAATACCACCATACACAACAATACCACCATACACAACAATACCACCATTCACAATAATACCACCATACACAACAATACCACCATACACAACAATACCACCATACACAACAATACGTATTACCACTATACACAATAATACCACCATACACAACAATACCACCATACACAACAATACCACCATACACAACAATACCACCATTCACAATAATACCACCATACACAATAATACCACCATACACAACAATACCACCATACACAATAATACCACCATACACAACAATACCACCATTCACAATAATGCCACCATACACAACAATACCACCATTCACAATAATACCACCATACACAACAATACCACCATGCACAACAATACCACCATTGTTGTAGTTGTTTCCACGTCAGATCCCGAACCTGTGTTGAAGTGTTCTACATGACATATATTCTGTGTTGAAGTCTTCTACATGACATATTCTGTGTTGAAGTGTTCTACATGACACATATTCTGTGTTGAAGTGTTCTACATGACATATTTTGTGTTGAAGTGTTCTACATGACATATATTCTGTGTTGAAGTCTTCTACATGACATATATTCTGTGTTGAAGTGTTCTACATGACATATATTCTGTGTTGAAGTCTTCTACGTGACATATTCTGTGTTGAAGTCTTCTACATGACATATTCTGTGTTGAAGTGTTCTACATGACACATATTCTGTGTTGAAGTGTTCTACATGACATATTCTGTGTTGAAGTGTTCTACATGACATATATTCTGTGTTGAAGTCTTCTACATGACATATATTCTGTGTTGAAGTGTTCTACATGACATATTCTGTGTTGAAGTGTTCTACATGACATATATTCTGTGTTTAAGTGATCTACATGACATATTCTGTGTTACAGCCTGGAGCCAGATGGAAGCACGGAGACCTGGACCTACACAGAAGTCTGATGTACCCGGTAGGTGGGAGAATATTGTGTACCAGATGTGATAGTCGCACTGTGTATATTAGCAATGTACACGTTGCCTGATTGTAGACATTGACTGTAACATGTTTACATGGTATCAGGTTATCAGATCTGTCAGAAAGCTTTGTCCTTTCTAAAAACAACCCCCGTGTCATCTACCGGAGAACTGTATGGCTTTTAAAAACTATCCCTTTATAGAAAATATATTCTATACAATGAGGTTGTTGATATATATCTTATTTATTTATAATGTGACATCTTCGATGATAAATGTAAGATAACAACACTGATAATATAATATGATATGATATGATATGATATGATATGATATGATATGATATGATATGATATGATATGATATGATATGATATGATATGATATGATATGATATGATATGATATGATATGATATGATATGATATGATTGATATGTAATATAATATAATATAATATAATATGAATCTAGTGTTTATTCTAACCCTCCTGTTTGTCTCCACAGCCACGACCAGAGAGAGGGACACACGGAAGTCTGGGACCCCCTCAAGACCTGACACACGAGGTGGGTGGAGACATGTCACGTGTGTTGTAGTGGGCAGACCACTCTCCACACACACACAAAACTGTGTTAGAACTGTTAGATAACATTCTATTCATGTAAATAACCAATGTGTAAAAACATCAACTAGTTCTTGTGTTCCCTGTACACCCGCCATGTTGCTGTCAGTTCTTGTGATTCCCTGTACACCCGCCATGTTGCTGTCAGTTCTTGTGATTCCCTGTACACCCGCCATGTTGCTGTCAGTTCTTGTGATTCCCTGTACACCCGCCATGTTGCTGTCAGTTCTTGTCATTCCCTGTACACCCGCCATGTTGCTGTCAGTTCTTGTGATTCCCTGTACACCCGCCATGTTGCTGTCAGTTCTTGTGATTCCCTGTACACCCGCCATGTTGCTGTCAGTTCTTGTCATTCCCTGTACACCCGCCATGTTGCTGTCAGTTCTTGTCATTCCCCGTACACCCGCCATGTTGCTGTCAGTTCTTGTGATTCCCTGTACACCCGCCATGTTGCTGTCAGTTCTTGTGATTCCCTGTACACCCGCCATGTTGCTGTCAGTTCTTGTGATCCCATGTACACCCGCCATGTTGCTGTCAGTTCTTGTGATTCCCTGTACACCCGCCATGTTGCTGTCAGTTCTTGTGATTCCCTGTACACCCGCCATGTTGCTGTCAGTTCTTGTGATTCCCTGTACACCCGCCATGTTGCTGTCAGTTCTTGTCATTCCCTGTACACCCGCCATGTTGCTGTCAGTTCTTGTCATTCCCTGTACACCCGCCATGTTGCTGTCAGTTCTTGTCATTCCTGTACACCCGCCATGTTGCTGTCAGTTCTTGTGATTCCTGTACACCCGCCATGTTGCTGTCAGTTCTTGTCATTCCCTGTACACCCGCCATGTTGCTGTCAGTTCTTGTGATTCCCTGTACACCCGCCATGTTGCTGTCAGTTCTTGTCATTCCCTGTACACCCGCCATGTTGCTGTCAGTTCTTGTCATTCCCTGTACACCCGCCATGTTGCTGTCAGTTCTTGTGATTCCCTGTACACCCGCCATGTTGCTGTCAGTTCTTGTGATTCCCTGTACACCCGCCATGTTGCTGTCAGTTCTTGTGATTCCCTGTACACCCGCCATGTTGCTGTCAGTTCTTGTGATTCCCTGTACACCCGCCATGTTGCTGTCAGTTCTTGTGATTCCTGTACACCCGCCATGTTGCTGTCAGTTCTTGTCATTCCCTGTACACCCGCCATGTTGCTGTCAGTTCTTGTGATTCCCTGTACACCCGCCATGTTGCTGTCAGTTCTTGTCATTCCCTGTACACCCGCCATGTTGCTGTCAGTTCTTGTGATTCCCTGTACACCCGCCATGTTGCTGTCAGCCATACTGTATGTATAGATGATGTATCGAGTGTTTTGTATCATCAGTGTAAGATGTGAACAATGTAGCTGTAAGATGAAGATGTCCGACCTGTGTACAGAGTTTACTTTGTGTTACAGCGACACCGACACCCGCACGGAGAGACGCCCGGGCAGACGCCGACCTCTGTGCCGCCTGCAGGGCGGGGAAGCTGGCGGAGGTGAAGCGGATCCTGGACACAGGTCGGGCTGACGTCAACTGTAGAAGTGTGGTCGGGATGACACCGGTGATGAGGGCAGCAGGGTGGGGACACAGGGATGTGGTGGAGCTCCTTGTGAGTCGAGGTGCTGATGTGTCACTGGTGGACGATGACGGTGACAACGTCCTTCACTACGCCTGTGAGGGAGGATACAGGAAGACAGTGGAGTTTGTCCTGTCTCTGGACGGGGTGGACATCAACAGTAGAGGACAGAGGAGCATGACACCGGTGATGCTGGCAGCACTGAGGGGACACAGGGATGTGGTGGAGTTCCTTGTGAGTCGAGGTGCTGATGTGTCACTGGTGGACGGTGTCGGTAACGACATCCTTCACTACGCCTGTAGAGGAGGAGACAGGAAGACAGTGGAGTTTGTCCTGTCTCTGGACGGGGTGGACATCAACGTCCGGAACGACTACGGGGAGACAGCGGCCGACGTGGCGAGAGACGGGCGACATCATCAACTGTCGGATCTCCTGGTGTCACGTGGTACACAGTGAAGTGAATGTAGTGTTGATGTAGAGAGTGATGGAGGAAATGTCGTTACTGACACTGACGTTGTGCATGCCGTTCACGTCGTCGCGTTGTTTATAATTCAGTATGACGGTGAGAATATTTGTTGTGTTTGGGGAGAAATAAAACTTGTTGAGAACATTTTCAGACATTTTGTTGTTTATGGAACTTTACAGAATCAGGTAAGGATATTGTTGCCTGTAAATATTGATGATATGTCGTCGGTACATGAACGCCGCATCTTGTAATGAAGTTCTGTTTTAATTATGTGTCATAATTTTCTAATTAATCGTGAAACAGACAACAACAAACTGTTTGTTTACATCTCGCTGCACTCTGTGACCTCAGACTGGCGCCAAATGTACAGTGACGTCACATTGTTGATGACGTCACGGTGTTGTGGTCGTGACCAGCTGTTTTCTGTGCCAAGTGTTACACTGCCGCACACTGCTGGCTTGATGACAGGGTTACTGTATCACCTGTATAGAACTACAAAGTCATACGCTGTTCATTGTTCAGTGTTCAAGGGGGCGGTAGGGTATCCTAGTGGTTAAATCACGCCGAAGACCCGGATTCGATTCCCGACATGGGTAACATGTCCATTTCTGGTGTTCACCACAGTGATATTGCTTGAATATTGATAAAAACGTCTTAAAACTAAACTCATCCACTCACTCAATGTTCAAGGATTAGCGGTTTCCGAACTTTTGAAAACAAAATGGCATCAAAAGTCTGATCAAGGAATGAGTTTGTTATGCAAAACGTTAACCTAAGTAGACCCGAGGCCGCATTTTTCCAAAAACTTAAACCCTGGATGCCGAGGTTTTTTTCAGGTGCGTATTTTCATAAGGTTTGAAAAGTGAGCGTTGTGCAAGAATTGCGCTCGCGTGGTCCTGGATCTGCGTACGGCTATAAACTTACACAGAAATGTAGAAAATTACATTTCCTATCCGTTGGTATAAATATAAGTACAACTAACTACAACTATTGAGTAATAGACACTGCTAAATGTCGTCCAACATTTTGTTATGCGTTATAAACATTTAATTTCTCCGCTTTTATCGTGCACCGATAAAAGCTCTGTGCTACAATTGTTTTTAAATCGGCATCTTTACGGAAAGTATGAGCGAAGAAACTACAGCCTGATATCTGAACGACATAAGTGTATATGAAGTGGGTTTGTGTGCTTGTGCATAACGTTATACGTTCAACGTTAAAAATGACTCGCAATAAATGTCGAAAATGGATTTTCTTCTATGACGCACAGGGGCTTATGACGCTAAAAACTGCCATCAAGGTAAATATTGTCACTGACGGGGTCTCAGTACTATATAAAGGAAAGGGATGTAATGAGGTCAACACACCAGGTTCGTTTCAGGGACCATGTTGAACTGATGGCACCTGTCAGCGTCATCTCACTGTCATAATGAGTTTGCGTACATTATGTTCCCCAATGTGAGAGAAAACGTTTTGGTAGTTTCACAATTTATGAGAAAAGATTACAATGTACTGCATGAGAAAGCATGTAATATAGCGATTTGGATGGCCCTATCCGATATATAAGTTAGTTCTTAGATTCTACATATTCTCCCGTTTGTGTAGATGTATTTTGACTAATTTGGCATCATTGTTAACAGAGTACTAGCCATATCTTTAAAATCTAATGAAATTACTGAAAATAATACAACGTTTTTGTTGACGTCATTGCTTGTTTTATGCGTTTAGCGACGTCGGAAAAGACGACATTGTATGCTGATTAGTATATACCTAATGTCCATTAATTGTATATAAGGTCTCGGCTTGTATGTCAGAATTTAACACTCTTTAGACAAAACACAAAATGAATGATTTTACCATTTTAATAGTGTTTTGAACATATCAACAATTAGACCGTATGACTGCGTATCTTATTGTGAGCAACACGGCAACCTGTTTGGCATTAATTGAACGTAAATGAAAAATAATATTGGTAAATGTTTTTATCGTGTTGATTGTAAGAGAAGAGACCAGAAATGTTGATAATTACAGTTGTTGTTCTGCGTGATTTGCGTTAGTCATGGCGTCACGCTGCACGGAAACTTTGACAATTTCTTATGAATTATCAAATCATTGCATTGTACTTTTATTTGTAATTTCCATTTCTTGCTACGATATTCTTTTCCATACATATTCTAAAGGTATGGAGCCATTGCAAGCAATGAATAGACAGCAGTGTAAAATCGGAAATTGTCTTTGATTACATTTCAAACAAGCGCAGTCTTTCGAGCACAGCGTTCCTTTTCACCCCCTTTTATGTTTTGTTTGATTTCATCTAGACAGTTGGTGTTGGTGACAAAGACCATTTGTAATTGATTTTTTAAATGTATGGGGGAATTCAGTCATGCAATTGAGATGTCTCAATAACGGCCTTCGCGAAACGTGATTTTGTAAACACAATCAAATATGGCGGAAGCGCTCTACGGCGTTCGTGTTAGTGTATTTTCGAAAACATCCCAACAGATTCCAGGGTCGTCGGTAACGTTTCAGAATTATCATTAGTGATTTCATGAAACACCGATATCAGTGATCATTGATATGCTATGTTTTCAATTCATTACTCCCAGGAATTATCCGATTTCCACATTTCAAAACATGCAGCAAATAACGCTGTGAATCGCGAAATGGCGACATTTACGATGAAGCAAGTTTTGAAAGGTTACTTGAAGCACTGAAGATAATAATAGTGGATGGTATCAAGAAACAGGAAATTCAAAGTGTGAAGTATATTTGCGTGCGTGATATATTTAGGAATTCTATTGGACTTCAAATGAGGGTTGACATATATGTCCTTTGTGGCGCAGGGGTTAAGGCTGTTTATAAACTTAGTCTGATCGTTTTTGTTCACTTAAGGTTTTCGGTAAAACTTAAGCCATAATTATCAAGCAAAGTAACTCTAGATTGTGCATCTGACGCACATTTTCATAAGGTCTGAAAAGTGAACGCTCTGCGAGAATTCCGTTGCGCGGCGTTTGTTTGTAAAAGATCGCACTGACCTATACTCAGCTATACGTTGGTGGGCTGTACATAATGAAGTCTGGACCAGACAATCTCGTGACTGACCTACACTCCCAGCTAAACGTTGGTGGGTGTACATAATGAAGTCTGGACCAGACAATCTCGTGACTGACCTATACTCCAGCTATACGTTGGTGGGCTGTACATAATGAAGTCTGGACCAGACAATCTCGTGACTGACCTACACTCCAGCTAAACGTTGGTGGCTGTACATAATGAAGTCTGGACCAGACAATCTCGTGACTGACCTACATTCCAGCTATACGTTGGTGGGCTGTACATAATGAAGTCTGGACCAGACAATCTCGTGACTGACCTACATTCCAGCTATACGTTGGTGGGCTGTACATAATGAAGTCTGACCAGACAATCTCGTGCCTGACCTACATTCAGCTATACGTTGGTGGGCTGTACATTATGAAGTCTGGAGCAGACAATCTCGTGACTGACCCATACTCCAGCTATACGTTGGTGGGCTGTACATAATGAAGTCTGGACCAGACAATCTCGTGACTGACCTATACTCAGCTATACGTTGGTGGGCTGTACATAATGAAGTCTGGACCAGACAATCTCGTGACTGACCTATACTCCAGCTTCATACGTTGGTGGGCTTGTACATAATGAAGCCTGGACCAGACAATCTCGTGACTGACCTACACTCCAGCTATACGTTGGTGGGCTGTACATAATGAAGTCTGGACCAGAACAATCTCGTGACTGACATCATGAGCATCGCTCAAGGCAGTTGAGATACGATAACATGTGTCAACCCAGTCAGCGTGCCTGACCACCGTTAGTCGCTTTTACGACAAGCATGGGTTACTGAAGACCAAATCTAATCAGGATTTCACGGGTAATCTAGGTATTACGAAGTCAAGCATGAACATATGTTGTGTAGAACAATTTTGATAAACTTCTGAAGAACATTCTGTTTTTGCCTTTGTCACATTGTCTGCCATAATTTAGGAAACTGGTCCGATGGGCAGAGACAGTTACATAGATGTTAATATCAAATTTCATATCAAATGATGTAAATTCAAGTACACATACTTATGCGGCTTTAAAAGTAGACATTGTCCGCAGTTTTCTTATGCCGGTAAAAACAGTAAATTTCTCCACCTTAACGCACAGCACAGTCCGAAGGTTTTTTTATTTGGCATCTTTAGAGAAACGAGGAAGTACTGCCTGAGATTTTATTAATGGATTTGTAAGCTTATGTATAACATTATGCATTCAATGTGTAAAATAACTTGCCATAAATGACGGAATTTACACACACACACGCACGTACACACACACACACACACACACACACTTAAAGATAAGGGGAACAACTCCGCCGGGCTTAACACCAGGTCATTGTAACTCAGGTCCACGAAAATGTCCTGTGGATACGGACACTATATTTTCGTGATGTTTTGTTAACGGCACACCAAACTATTTCAATGCAAAAATCTACATTATAAGCGAATGCGATGTATCACAGCATGTGGAAGGACGTAATAGATAAAGGGATGGTGATATTTATTATGTTAATTATTTCTAACATTCCCGTACTCTCTTGGTTGTGTAGATGTATTTGGACTAATGTAGCACCATTATTAACAGAGTACAAGCATTATCAACTATTACTGACAAATGACACCACTTTAGTTGGTTGACGTCATGACTTGTTTTATTTATTACCCATACGGGTGACGAGATCCCGTGTAATATATTTTTGATATTTGCACAGTGTGCAATTTAGTGATTCTCGACGTTGATTGGTTGATCGTATACTTATACATTTTCATTGGATGCCGGAACTACTTTCACAAACTACGTTCATTCATAAAATTTCATCGATTCATTGATAAATTGACCTTGATGTAATCGCACTTATTAGAGATTTCAAAACATACCAAAAAAACATACAGGATTTCGATTTTGATGCTAATTTAATGTTTTATTTCATACTTCATTAACAATATAGCGTCGTCTACTTAACATGTTTTGTAATATAAAAATGTCTAAAATTGATAAAATCGTCTTTTGTAAACAAACATGGCTACCCAGTTAACGCCA